GTTCTGGCCATTAGATGTAGCTCGTCTGTGTTGGGACATTCTTTTGAACAGTGGCTGCTTTGTTTCCGTGATGTATGAAAATGAGTGAACATTTGCAAAAAATTAAAAAAAAATAATAAAAAAAACAATAAAGTTTACCCATTTGAACATTAAAAATCTTATATTTGTTATGCATTTAATAGAATATACTTTGAAAAGGATTTTCAAACCACTGTATTCTATTTTTTTTAATGTTTTTCATAACATCCCAACTTCATTGGAATTGGGGATATAGGTAAACCCACAGAAAACTGGACACCAAATGAATGAAAAAGCATGAGCAGCAGGTATATTTAATGTTTCTTTACTTCTCATTAGGGCTTTACATAAGCCTAAACACTTTGATCAATACTGTATCTTATTCCGATTAAGCAGTTTTTGAGGACTTCTTGGTACACCCTGGTRTGAATGAACCCCTGCTTATGCTCTCTATCTAAAAGCACTCTTCATGCTGGAGTTGCTTTTGTAAGCCTGCTCTGGTTTTGTAAAAGAATACAAATGAAGCTGGGGGTTGCACATGTTCTTTGATAAATCAAGGAAAGGTGAACTGTGCACTCATGTCACCGTCTGGGGACGATGAATTTCAGCATCTCGCTTTAAATGAGAAAAGTTAGGAGGGAAAAAAAGCTCCCGGACTTTTCAAACTGCAAAGAAAGGTGATGACAATACACCTAGGCGACAATYGTCAAGAATCACCTTTCTGCCTGTGAGGTCACGGCGGGTGGTAGGTTACTAAAAATGCAAGTGTTTTTGAGTACATGGGAAACGCTGTGAGGGGAGGAATAAAATMAATTACCAAAAACTCTCTTTCAAATTGTTGTTTAGCCTTTTAAAAATACACAAATATTTCAGAATGAGTCCTCATCGGAGGACATTGTAAACTTTGTGCTACATGCTGCTTCAGTTGCCCTTTAACATCGTTTTTTTCTACGCGATATAAGGAGTTCAAAAACAAAACTCTGACAGTAAAAAAAAAATCCAGCACAAAGAATCCTTACTGTCTTTGAGGTTAAAGGAGCATCTTCAAAGAGGTCTTTAAGCCTCCTCAACAAAAGCTGCTGTCACTGGGGAAAATAACRTGAATGTATCTCCTACAGTAACTTACAGTTTGAAATGCACGTACAGGAACACTTACTCTTTAGTTAAATGCACTCCACCTTTAAGGCCACTGTCGAACACGCCCTTGCCTCTGCCACCGGCCAGAATTTGAGCTTTCAACACTATTTCCTTGGCATCTGAAAGGAGAGACAGAAAGGAAATCAGGGGAGAGGAAGAAAAAAAATGAAGAGAAAGTTAGACGGACCACTTAAGATACAGGTTCAGCACCCTAAATGCACCCTTGAGTCCAGCACTTATTTGTCCAGATGATTGAAAGCAGAAGTGAAGAGGAAAATAAYGGGGTGCAAGGCTGAATGGAATACAAATTATAGCATTATATAAAGTATAAACTCCTTTGCAAAGCTACCACAAGCAAGTAGTTATTGTGACCACAAAAAAAATGCACAACAAATATTTTTAATGCAAATAATTTTGGCATAACACGTTTCCAAAACAAGAGTCCAGCAGCTGTTTGTGAYGGTTTAAAATTGCATTGATAACACACTCATAGTCACAATATAATGAAGYCCTGCAAAGTTGTGTTTCGCAGTTTGAGGACTCAGTSTTTCWTTCACAGATTTATTTATGGAATCTAACTACTAGTAGTTTGTGGTAATCCTCGTGATATCAAGAAAATCAGAAATACAGTGCCGTCAATTATGTCAATTTTTTCTCTTATTTTTGGTAAGTTTTAAGTTATAAGTGAAGAAAATTTACTAATTTTGTAATATTAACATAAATTCAATTCCGTATATAAAACATACAGAACACTGTGTGACATGTCCTGTGCCCACGTTTGGCCTGGAGTGCAGCATTTCCACTTCTTATAATTTACTGTACAGTATCATGTGGGGTGTAGCTGCTAACTGAGGTTATCAGTTAGTTGTCAGTTGTCCCCCTCCTACAGTGCTGCTATTGCCAGTATCACTCCACCCCCTTTAACAATAGGTGTTAATTAGGTGTCAACGATATCCATGTGATGTGATACTCACATCACATGGCTATCGTTGACACCTAATTAACA